AAGGGCATTGAAGCGCGTGAAAGGTGCGCGCGCAAGGCGCACAGGGGTGGGAAAGCGTGCGCGCAAGGCGCGAGAATGCGTGACTAGAAATTGGTTAGCTTTTGAATATGCAAAGAGATTGACCTTTATGCGTTAAATAGTGTGAAGTGCGAGAAAGGTGCGCGCGCGAGGCGCACAGGCGTGGGAATATTGCGCGCGCACAAGGCGCGAGAATGCGTGACTAGAAAATGATTAGCTTTTGAAATGCAAAGATATTGACCTGTATGCGCGAAATGCGCGGAACTAGATCTTGCTGACTGCTCCCCTCGCGGTGGGCTCCAGTTGTAGAAACAACAATACAATGAGGAACAAGGATGCTCCTAACTGTATCTATAAAATGTTGATAGGTCGCGCGTTGCCTAGTCTGCGTTGCTTGAGGAGACAAGTGCATTCGACCCTAAAGGGGAGGTGAGTACAGCAAAGATCTAGAGGTATGCGCGGCAACGCGAAGCGCGAGAAAGCGCAGGTGCGCGCAAGGTACGAAGGCGTGGGAAAGCGCGCGCGCGTAAGCGGTAATAAGAGAGACTAAGCTTAAGTGATAATATGATGCAATATAAGAAAAGAGAGATGCAAAGTGTAGACAAAATGGAGTTCTACTATGTACTGCTAAGTAAATAGTGGGTGATAACTAGTAAGTTAAAGGGAAAACGTAAGGTGTGAAAGGTCAGTAAGTAATAGTATGTACTGCTGGCGCTTATATAGCGCGCCTAAGTGCGGTCATGCGGAGCCGAAGCGCTACCGAGTAGGTATGTAAAGATATATATAAGTGAGAATTCATGATAAAAATAAAGGTGGAATGATATGCTAATAAAAGAAATGGAAATATACGCACTAGAGGGCTTGGTGGACAGTGGATGGATGCTTCTGGATGGCTGGCGCTATAGGGCGCGCAAGCGCGGGAACGCGCGCGCGCGTATACATCGCGAAGCGCAGGAATGGTGCGCGCATGGCGCGCATTGCGCGGGAAAGCTGCGCCTCATATAGGAATTGCTGTGGACAGTACACAGAGTGGTGCTGCGAGTTGGTGCTGTATACTCCCTTAGTGGAAACTGCCATATCACGCCATGAGAGGCATGAGTCTCTACATCGGATCCGAGATCTGTCGATGACAATTGTGCACATGACCAGAAAGGAAACTTAGCATCAGTGACATTTCTATCTCACACCATCATGCTGATACTCACCAAGTCGACACTTTACTTTCTAAACCTAACATCAAAATTCAGAAGCAAGAAATTCAGCCTGGCCGGGCAGGTCAATAACTGGCGTTATAACGTTGAACCAGATGCGAAGCAGACATCCTCACAAGCACCTACTGTCCTGAGCGGGACAACTCAAAGTGTTCCCTGCTCAACGACGACCTCCAAGCTGTCCTCCGCAACCACAGCAACTACTTTTTCCAATGCAACAGAACCCCCACCTACCCCAACAAAGACTTCTAGTTTTGCTCACAACGCTGATGCCTCAGATGATGACCAGAGCGACAGCGATTCCGAAGAGCGTGCAGCTGCTATTGTAAGCAAAGGAAAAGGAAAAGCTGGGATGAAGGTAAGTCGCAGCCGATGATAAAACACATGCTTATCATCTATTTCAGACGGTTGTTGAAATCAAGGGCAGCTCCGACTCCAAAGAGCATGCAGCTGCTATCGCAGGAAGTCAGAAAGTTGCTGTGCAGGTAAGTCACAGCTACTTATGATCAACAAGATCTGTACTTACAGTTGGAATTGGCAAGGAGCCTCAGGCTGGTAGTGACGATTCAAACATGCCACTGGCTGGCACTCCCTTTGCTGATTTGCCTTACAGCAAACAATTGGAAATTGTCAGCTACACATTACAGCAACCTACGCCACGTACCATCGGCAAGAGCAAGAGGAAGATTGAAGAGGTCATGGTAAAGTCAGACGAGGACGGAGATGAGGACGGCTCGGAAGTTGAGTTTGCTTATGGGGACGATAGCATCATGGAAGCCTTTGATGAGATCGAAGCTGCTCCCAAGTTGGTTCACACCACAACAACGGTGAAGGTACAACAATTCAGATGGTAAGTCTGAACAATGTTGGGTCTTGCAGAACCTAGCTGCTATTCGACCCTAAAGGGTTTCTGGACCAGGCTCAAGACTCAGAGAAGAGGAAATATCATGAAAACTTGCTCAGCATTCAGACTCATACTGGTAACTGGTGAAAAGATTGCTTGATTATGTAAGCTACAAAAGTGCCAACATAAGGTAAGGTAAAAACAGTCTCTACAAGCCCAGCCAGAAATGAATCCCTACAACGGTAAGTGACTTCTTGATTTGGCAAAATGTTTACCCTGACAACCACGCAGACGAATGTGATGGCTTCTGAGAAGCCGAAGGTACTGCCTGGCCCTCGAGCCAAGAAGATCAAATCCGATGTAGAGACTCGTGTGTCTCATGGTCTGATATGACAAGTATTCACTAAGGAGTACATAGCACAAACTTGTAGTGTCACTCCGTGCACTACCCGCAGCTATCCCTATATGAGGTGCAGCTATCCCGCGCAACGCGCGCCATGCATGCACCATTCACGCGCTTCGCGATCTATATGCGCGCACGCGTTCCCGCGCTTGAGCTCCCTATAGCGCCAGCCATCCAGAAGCACCCATCCACTGTCCACCAAGCCCTCTAGTGCGTATATTTCTATTTCTCTCATTTGCATATTGTTCTGTCTTTATTTTTATCATGGATTCTCACTCATATATATCTTTACATACCTACTTGGTAGTGCTTCGGCTCCGCATTACAGCGCTTAGGCGCTGTAGAAACAACAATACAGAGAGGAACAAAAGATGCTCCTGACTGTATCTAAAAATGTCATAGGTCGAGTGTTGCCTAGTCTGCTATGCTTGAGGTGGCAAGCACGTTCGACCCGAGTGACCAGTCCCCTGTTACTCGTCCGAAAAATTTTGGCTCTCAGAAGCTGCGTCACTTCAAGGTACGAGCAATCACCGTTCAAACTGCGTGTACAGCCATTCAATGACCCCCGTCACCTCGAATGATGCATCAAAATTTTATTGACACATAGGATATATATCATGGCCGCTATTCACGCTCTACAGTGCGGGATATGCATTTGAAGTACCGTCGCAACAAAATACCTTCCACAGTGGTCACATCTTTCGAAAAGCCCGTCCCAGTCCCAGACACTTACACCTGTCTCACCGGAGAGGTCAGCAAGAAGACCTGTTTCATAGGCCGAGAGCCTGTTCATCACAACCATGCCACTGTCTTGTCCGAGCGGGAGACGTGTGGATACACGTTGTCCACGACGAGCCGCCATTGACAACTGACTAGCAGCAGCACCTTGAATAGATCCTTTGTATTAATTAGTTTTTGAATGATACTCTATAAATTGTGCTACAACTCACCAGCACGACGATGAACTAGTCGGATAAATGGACGTGGATTTGCTGAGGGTGCACCAACTAAACCACGGAGTTGTCGAAAGTCAGGCCAAACTGAGACATGGGATCTGAGATAGCCGTGGAAGTAGGGCGCAATGTCATGCTCATTAGGAGCAAGCTGGCGGAAGGCATCATGAACTGGATTCATGTTAGGTTGGGGGTTTGCAACTATGAGCAGACCATTAATACTGACACCTGCATCTAGGTAACAGTAAATACATACCGAGTGTTGGCAGTTCTTCGTAACTAGAGGTAAAAAAAGATGTGTGATAAATATCTGTGATGTTGGCTGTCGTGAAATCGTGAAAATCGTTGTAGAAACTACAATACAATGAGGAACAAAAGAAGCTCCTGACTGTATCTGTAAAAGTTGTAAGGTCGCGCGCTGCCTAGTCTGCGTTACTTGAGAAGCAAGTGCGTTCGACCCTATAGAGGAAGTGAGTGCAGCAAGGATCTAGAAGTGTGCGCTTAAGCGAAGCGCGAGAAAGCGCAGGAGTGCGCAAGGTACAAAGGCGCGGGAACGCGCGCGCGTATTAGCGCGAAGCGCGGGAAGTGCGCGCGCGTATGCGGAAATGAGAAACTAAGCTTAAGTAGTGATATAAAGCAAGATAAGAGATATAAGAGTGCAAAATGTAAAGGAATAGCTTTCTACTATATTCTGCTAAGTAGTAAGTGGGTAGTAACTAGTAAGTGAAAAGTAGGAAAAGTAGGTAAGTAATAGTATGTACTGCTGGCGCTTATATAGCGCGCCTAAGCACGGTCAAGCGGAGCCGAAGCGCTACCGAGTAGGTATGTAAATATATATATGAGTGAGAATGCATGATAAAAATAAAGGTGGAACTATGCTAATAAAGGAAATGGAAATATACGCACTAGGGAGCTTGGTGGACAGTGGATGGATGCTTCTGGATGGCTGGCGCCATAGGGCGCGCAAGCGCGGGAACGCGCGCGCGCGTATACATTGTGAAGCGCGGGAATGGTGCGCGCATGGCGCGCGTTGCGCGGGAAAGCTGCGCGTCATATAGGAATCACTGTGGATGGTACACAGAGTGATGCTGCGAGTTGGTGCTGTATACTCCCTAGTGTAAAGCGCCATATCACACTATGAGATGCACGAGTCTCTACATCGTGTCAGTACAAAGGACGTGATCACCAGTGCAACATGCTAACCTCTAAATCCGCACTGCTCATTAGCACACTGCATCAAGACATGCCCATTCACGGCAGAGTCCACAATCCTGGTGGAACAAGGTGTGTCTGAGAGCATGCCGCAGAAACATTCTATGAAAAGCCCTCGACGCTGCAAGTAATCTGCCAAGCCATAAGGACGAATGCGGAAATGACCCGACTTTGGGCTGCAAACATAACTTTAAGTCAGTGGTTGGCAGTAAGTCAAAGTGAGCTACACACTATGCAACAGTGACAAGTTGCTTCACCTCACGTGAAAAGATGACGAGTTCTGTGCTTCCACGCTGGTACTCGATACACGGGCGAAAAATTGAATCCATGATGGCTAGCCTGGCCTACTGTACTATATCATGAGCGAGATGCTGACCTATACTACCAATGGAAACGAGCAAGCACACAGGAATATCAATCGTGATGGTGTGGGTCTTATGCTATTGGGAGGAATCATGCGAGGATTTCACTACGACACAAACATCAGCGCTAGTTTGGACCTTTTCGATGCATTTGGCATCAACTCCAGCGACCGTTTATCTACCCATGCTTACCGTGCAAAACGTGCTCTTGCTCGACAAGGTAAGCAATACTAGTATATTCATGTTATTATCTAGAACACTTAAATGGTTTTCAGTCAGATATACAAGGTCTTCGCCCTCGGAGGGCAACACAAGCTTCGCATGTGTTCATCTCACTCCTCCACCTGTTGAGCCCCAACCTGAACTCATTCCCAACTTGTCTCTGATGACCGGTTCCACCGGCGGCGCCATCCCAGTATCGACATTCAGCACTCTCACTTATGCACTAACTGCAGGTGCACACGTTATGGATCATCGAGCTCGTTCCCCATCGTTTAGTGCTGCACCTCCCACTGTATGCGCAGTACATCACCATATCTATCCCACTCGAGATCAACTGAGCACTTTCAGTACATTGCAAGGTGCTGTAGAGTAGATGATACGATGCCCGGCGGTGCAATTTTTATTAATGGTGCAAAGATTACATGTATGATGCGATGAGATAAGTATTTGGGGGGCAGGAATCAGAATCAAGAGCGCACGCGACCTTAAACTCGACGTCGGTCGCGGCCTTCATAAGATGAGGTGAGAATGTCAGAGAACCGCGAGCCTGGAACTGAGCGGCCGAGCAAGCGAGAGAGATGAGATGAGAGAAGGCCGCAATTCCAGGTCGAACGTGACAGAGACGGCAAGACAGCCGATGAATGAGGACATGGTGCAGTGGGTGTGAGAGAGTGAGGACAACGAGCGAGCGAGTGGGAGCAGTGAAAAGCCGGTGGAGGATCATAACTGTCTAGGAAGATGTAGTTAAACATATGTCAGTTGGTGAGAGTCTTCAGAGTTGGATTAGTTAGTACGTACATTTCAAAAGGCTAAAGGCAGCCTCATTAACCGACGAGGACACCAACGACGTACATCGATATTTGGAGCATCAAGCAGCGTGCGCAGGTTTGGCCGTGGAGGCAAGATAATAATGAACAGCCACGTCAGCGCTATTGTAAAGTCAACAGGCATTAGTAACGAAGATGGGCTCCTCGGGGTCTTGCATAGGCTTGAAGGAGCAATTGCTCGTACCTTGAACTGACGCAATCCCAGGGAGCCGAAAATTTTCGGACGAGTAACAGGGGACGGTAGACTCTTCGACCCTTAAGGGGAAGCAAGTGCAGCGAAGATCTAGAGGTACGCGCCGAAGCGAAGCGCGAGAAAGCGCAGGTGCATGCAAGGTACGAAGGCGCGGGAATGCGCGTGCATATTAGCGCGGGAAAGCGCGCGCGCGTGCAGAAATGGTAGAGAGACTAAGCTTAAGTGATAATATAATGCAATATAAGAGAAGAGTGCGAGATGTAAAGGAATAGAGTTCTATTGCGACTTTCTAGGTAGTAAGTACTAGGTAAAGTAAGAGGTGAAAGTTCAGTGAGGTGAAAAGTTGTGTGTCGGCGCTTATATAGCGCGCCTAAGCGCGGTCATGCGGAGCCGAAGCGCTACCGAGTAGGTATGTAAAGATATATATAAGTAAGGGTCCATTATAAAAATAGAGGTGGAATGATATGCTAATAAAAGAAATGGACATATACACACTAGAGGGTTTGGTGGACAGTAGATGAATGCTTCTGGATGGCTGGCGCTATAGGGCGCGCAAGCGCGGGAACGCGCGCACGCGTATACATCGCGAAGCGCGGGAATGGTGCGCGCATAGCGCGCGTTGCGCGGGAAAGTTGCGCCTCGTATAGGGATAGCTGCGGGTAGCGCACAGAGTGACGCTACAAGTTCGTGCTATGCACTCCTTGGTGGAAACTGCCATGTCACGCCATGAGAGGCATGAGTCTCTACAGCGCGCTATATAAGTGCCAGCAGTACATAGTACTAGGGACTTACTTTCCAACTTTTCCTACCTTTCACTTTACTTTCCACCCACTATCTACCTAGAAGAACATAGTTGAAATCTATTTGTCTACACTTTACACCTCTCTTCACTTATCTTGCATCATATTATCACTTAAGTCTAACCTCTCTATGTTTCCACACACGCGCACGTGCTTTCCCGCTGAAGGTACAACAATTCAGATGGTGAGTCTGAACAATGTGTTGGGTCTTGCAGAACCTAGCTGCTATTCGACCCTAAAGGGTTTCTGGACCAGGCTCAAGGCTCAGAGGAGAGGAAATATCATAGAAACTTGCTGATCTCTCAGACTCATACTGGTAACTGGTGAAAAGATTGCTTGATTATGTAAGCTACAAAAGTGCCAACATAAGGTAAGGTAAAAACAGTCTCTACAAGCCCAACCAGAAATGAATCCCTACACCGCGCTTCGCGCTAATACGCGTGCGTGTTCCCGCGCCTTGCGCGCACCTGCACTTTCTCGTGCTTCGCTTCAGTGCGTACCTCTAGATCTTCGCTCCACTCGCTTCCCCTTTAGGGTCGAACGCGCTTGCCACCTCAAGCATAGCAGACTAGGCAATGCATGACCTACAACATTTTTTAGATACAGTCAGGAGCATCATTTGTTCCTCTCAGTATTGTTGTTTCTACACCGAGACAGCATCCCAACCCTCGATCACACTAATGCCAACTCAGGCTGTTCCTGCCATGTCAGAGTCAATGCTGGCGGACATGGCAATGAAGCCCAGAACAGGAAACCAGTGGCGCAACACAGACCTCCCACTGATCATGTTGGAGAATGGCACATGGCGCCAGCAATTCATTCCGACTGTTCTCCTTTTGGCAGGTAGCCAGCCCAATTTTTGGACGATTGAGGCCCCTGATTTGCTGTGTGCGCTGCAGGCTATATTCACTACAATGTACCCAGGAGTAGAGCACAAGGTCCAACTCAAGGGACCCATCATGGGTGTGGTGAGTGTCGTCCTTATATATATATATATATATTTGTCACCTTGACCATTATTTAAACTTCAATAGGCCACCCAGCGCCTATGTATGTGGCGGAACAACTTTGGTTCCACCGCGATTGCGCTCATTTCTAATTTTTTGTCATCCGTGAACGAAAACAATGACGATGGTAAGCAAGTGGACAATGATAGTATTGATGTTGATGCAGACTCGGACGCCCAGGAGAAAGCCATGGTACATGTGGCATCCTCCCTTCTCAAAGATTATGCCTTTCTGTTTGCGGACCCTGATACCTGCCAGACCTCCAAGATTTACCGCTCCATCTTCATGTTGCAAATGATCGCAACAGTCCATCTTAACACATTCATCGGCTTTGTTGATGTGCCAGCACTTAATACAAGCGCTCTGCCTTCAATGCAGATGGAGGGGGTAATTGCTGCTTGCGCTGTTGCTGTACTGAGTCCCATCCTTAAACTCACTTGAAAATAGGCTAATTATTAATTTTAACAGCTCGAGCGTGCTTTTAAGTTAGTTGCAGATAAGGAAAAGAAGGGTACGGCTCTCAAAACCCCCCTCAGACTCAACAAAGCTACTGGTAAGGAAAGCAGCGTTCAGCTAGCCTTTTCTGAGTCGAACTGGGGAACATTCACTCGAGACTATTACCTGTCCCTTCTGAGGCGTGGCCCGAAATATACAGCGGACATGATTATCATGGCACACCCGTTCATGAAAGATTCAAGCTCAGATGGTAGCATTAAAGGCTCGAATGTCGAGGAAGGTGTTGCAGCCAGTGGGGAGCGGGCAATGCTCTGTGAGTGTTTTTTTCTTGTTCCGTGCTCCACTGACTGATGTAGTACTACTACTTTGACAGAATGTCTCCAGCATGTTTTTTCTTTGCATATTCTCGAACATTTTCACACTCCAAGCCGCTGTAGAGACTCACGCGTCTCAATGCCGAGTATCCAGCCTTTATCCATACATTCCTATATGATCCAGCTCTAATCCAAAGGACCAGTCTTGCGTGCACTCGCACGCACTTGAGCGTGCCTTACCTGCGCTCGCGCTATGTGCGCTTCGCGTGCACTGTAGGGATTCATTTCTGGCTGGGCTTGTAGAGACTGTTTTTACCTTACCTTATGTTGGCACTTTTGTAGCTTACATAATCAAGCAATCTTTTCACCAGTTACCAGTATGGGTCTGAGGGCTGACCAAGTTTCTATGATATTTCCTCTCCTCTGAGCCTTAAGCCTAGTCCAGAAACCCTTTAGGGTCGAATAGCAGCTAGGTTCTGCAAGACCCAACACATTGTTCAGACTCACCATCTGAATTGTTGTACCTTCAGCGCGTTCGTGCGCCTCCTCCTAGGTCTTCGCACTATTGTCTGTCCATTTGTCCCATGTCCTTACTGATTTGCTGGTGCGTTACTACTATCTCCTTCATTGAACTAACAAATCTTTGGTCCGAAATCCGTGCTACATATAGAAAGTCTATTTAAACTTAGTTATAATTAGAGTTGATATGGTTACTTGGTTCGGGAGTGTGCTCGGAAGCGCGCCACATAGTGTAATCTCCATTCTTAAATACAGAAGGGAATCTTTGGGTTCTGGTACTTACTTTCCCCTTATCTTTGTGTACTGGAAGGTGTATAGATCACCTCCTCACTTGATATCTGATCTGATTCTGTTGTCAACCATCCATCTGTGCATCCACTCTTCAAATAGGACCTTTCCCTTAACGTTCAAGGCGTGCCTTCGCTTCACGCGCGCGCATTCTCGAACTTCCCGCTCACGCGCGCCTTCGCGTGCGTTACCTTCTCACACCTGTTAGCACCCGCCTAGCTCATACAGTTTCCCTCCATTTTTATTTCGAGGAACTTCTCTCAGTGGTTGTCCTTTGGGTCAAGTTGTTGTCTCGTATCCTGGTCTTGCTGTAGAGCACCCATTTGTTTTAAGTGTTTTCACCTATAGTCAAGATTCCTCATCTACACCGCGTCTACGGTATATATCATACCAATGCACCATCCGCGTACTAGTAAATCCTCTCCGTCACAAGCTACTAACTCGACTTGCTTCCTTTTTCATCTTTTTGTACTTTTTTACAAGCGCAGTGATACAACTTTTAGTCTACTTTTTTAATGCTATCGGTGCTTTTTTAAGCAGCTCTCAGAAATAAGTGGAGAATAAGTGATGTTTAAGTAGAGGGATCTACTTAAAAAAGTAACTTTTACTTTTTTCCGCTTCCCTACTATTTGATGCAAAAAGTTGGATATAAGTGATTAAAAGTTAAACCCGAGATTTCCTGATGGGACAGACCCCTCAGAGCGTGTTGTGATCGAGTCTCGAGGTGCGGGATGGAGGGGACTGCAGAGAAGAAGAAGAGAAAACGAGACCAAATCAAAACACGTTGGTGAATCAAGAGAGAAAGGGAGGTGAGTGGGTGACTAAAATCAGAGCTGAGTGCCAGAAGATGGTTGTACAAGGCGAAAAGATTCAAGGGATGTTTGGACAGAAGCGTGTACTTATCTATGTCTTAGCGCACGGGCCTGCTGCTATGAGAGTGCGGTGTCAAAGGATTTTCATGTGCAGCTT